AAAAGATTGTCCACAGACCAGCTGATAATGTTACAGTCTTTGAACCAAACAAACGACAGAACCAGCTGTAAGTTACCTTAGAGCTAATGTTAGCCAAATGGTAACGTATCTAGACACAGCTAAAATGCTTATCAATTTGCCCTTCACTGGCAACGTTAGCTAGTAGCAATTGAAAACACATAATCTACATCATTTCACATAAACAACATAATCTAAATAATTCCACTCATAAAAAATGTTTACCTTGTTAAACTTGATTCCACCTTTCCCTGGCAGCCGAAGACAGAAAGTTCTGGAGGAGCAAGTTAGCTGACTTTTGGAGGAGAGCCGAGAGCAGAGAGTGTAGCGTAGTTCACACACACAACTGTCCTGGAGCTCGAGGAGGCGGAAAAATTCTGAAACTATAACGTTATTAACTATATTTTGGGGGTCAGCCCTATGTTCCCACAGCCCTATGTTCACACAGCCCTATGTTCACACAGCCCTATGTTCCCACAGCCCTATGTTCACACAGCCCTATGTTCCCACAGCCCTATGTTCACACATTTCTAAGAATGTTTTGAAAATTAGGCCCTATTTTCCCACAGTCTTATATGTTCCCATAAGCCCATGTCCACACTAACCCGGGTAATATTTATCCGGTTAGCCCTTCCGTCCACATTAGAACGGTGAATTCCAAAACTGAAAACGATGCTTTACAAAAACGACCGCTGAGGTGGATAAATGTGAAGACGCTGTGGAACGTGGATGCAAAGCGTTCTGAAAGGGTATAAAAGGGGAATATAGGGCTGTGGGAAAATAGGGCTGTGGGAACATAGGGCTGTGGGAACATAGACACGCTCCCATATTTTGACAGTTTACCACTGCTTATACATGTTATACGTTGACAAAAACACATTTATTCAACATTTTTGTTGTGAAAACTTACGTAATTACACAGGTTTTTTGTAAACTAACAAACAAATCTCAATAAAATTACAGAACAAATACTTCTTTTACTGTTAATTGTCAGTAATTTTATATCATTTTATAATCTTTTTACAGTATTAAACTTGAATTTAACAGTTTAATCTCTTAAATAACAAAGAAATGCTTGTGAAATTACGATACATTTGCAAATGTATTTTAACAGTATTTTTATGTGAAAAAAACATAGTTTTCTTTTTAAAAATTTTATGGTTATTCACAGTTACGGTGTTTTCATGTTATTTAACATTTGACATGTATAATCACAGTCTATTTTTGTAATTTTATTAATATTTTCATGTATTTTAAAAATACAAGAAAAATCTGTAAAACATACAGTAAAAATTCTGTTAAATTACAGATTTTTTTTACAGTGCACACATATTTGGCTAATTATGGTGTTAGTAGTACTCAATAGTATTTAAATCATTATTTTAATGGTCTATGTGCCCATTATAAACATTATGTATAGTTTGTAAGATTAACTCATACCCTATATGTAGCCTATATGTACTTGCACCCTATTTATGTGTTACAAATGAGCAGCAAATATGAACTAAAACATAGAATCCCTCTACAAGATGGAGGGTGGTGGGCCAGTCATAGTGATATTGTTTTTAACAATTTTGCAGTCAAATTAATTGAATCCCAATGATATGGTGTACACCTGGGACTTTTTATAAATTCAACTGCTGGGTAAAAGTTTAGATATTCACAGAGACAGTGATATATAAGGCTTTGACATTTAATGTGGGTGCTCTGTCTCGATCTCTCTCATAATAATTGAAAATATGAAAGATGTCCATCAAGATATTTATACAGCCTATAATGCTTTTGGTGCTCAGTTTTTTTTAATGATAAAAAATGAATCTATTTGATCAGTTTTCACAAGTAGATTCTGACTGAATTTTCTCAGTTTGTCATTAACAAACACACTTTCACTACCTATTTGTGTTTACTATAAGTACTGATGCACTTTGGACTGAGTATAATTTAATGCCTGACTTGTTTTTAGAGTCATACTGTGAGTGTTAATGCATTGTGCGCTTCAAACATAGTACTGTTTAAGAGAGCACTAATCTATTGTTATAGTGTGGTGTGTTGTTTGTGCGTGCAATTGTGAAAGTCTGTAAGATAATATAGTCCACGGTGATTGGTGTATTGAATGATCCACAGTTCACTGTGGCTGAGTGTTGGGAAGTTTACCAATCCCTCATAGGTGTTGGTAGTACTTTATGACATCAAGACAGACTCTCAGGCGGTGGGTAAGAAGATTTTTGATTAGAGACATTTCTTTCACTTGGCGTTGAAGCTGTTTGTAGCGATGGCGTTTATTGATCAGGTGCCGCTTGGTAGAACGCCATTTCAGCGCTTTGCTTCTCATAAGGCACATTGCCCGAGCCTCTTCTTGTGGGCAATCCGCTATCATGCACCTGTAGTGTCCTGTCAGCCACTTTGTTTGGGTCTCCAACTTCCTTGGGTGCAGTAGCATTGGCAGTGTGAGCTTCAGCAGTGTTACTGGTGGAACGTTGTGGGAGTGGTTCCTCAGTTGAGTGGGGCTCTTGATTAGTATTAATCGGTGTTGCTACATGATTCCTCTTTTGTCTCCTTGGCAGGAAGTGGTGGTTATGGCTGTTGGACTGTCATCTCACCTTGGAGCAACTGGTACAGTATTGAAGGCTTTGGTGGAGGTGGTGTCAATGGTGGAAAGGTTCCTGCGGTGTGTCCTCCTTGGACTGGAACTGTGTATCCTGAGGCAGTTGATTGCTTTCCCAACTGATTCCTGGGCCTTCTGCCACAACTTATTTTCAACTTTGTGACTATTTCGACTACACCACGGTTGGTCCCACTTTCTTTTGAACACCTTAACATAAACCCCTACCTGCAATCACAAATAGTGCCACAACTGGACTGGTTCTGGACTGTTGCTAAGCAACACATAAACATGTTCCTGACCTGCACTCTACTTTGACTACACATTGCCTCAGGCCAGCTACTTTGTATATAAATGTATCTGTATGTTTCTATTTATTGTGCAACCAGTGAAATAAGAGTCTGGTGACACTGGCTTTGGTGGTATGTGTGATTCCAATGGGTTAACAGCTGGATCAGACAGTACATGGCTCCATTGTTTTCTGTTGTCCTCTAACTTTTTAGCAAGCTTTGTTGCAATCTAAGATAGATAATAACGATTAATGTAACGCTAATTAATTGTTAATAGAACACCGGTAAAGTGAGTGATAGTTAAAAGTCCCAGTGCTGTGTACTCTATATCAGCACTCATGGAATGAGTCCAATCAAATTATTGAACATTTACAGTAAATGTTCATTTGGGGTTGTCAAGTTTGCCCCTGGGCTCCCAAGGTGCTTAATCCAGCCCTGCTGCGGAAAGGTTAGAGTCTATGACAGATGATAAAACAACACTTTCTTCGTCACATTTCTTTTGAATAACAAAGATTTAGGTGGAAGACTTGAAAGAAGGCACCAAACAAAAAAGAACAAGGCGGAGCTCAGAGTTCACAAATTTTCTTTCTAGGAACTCAAAAGTCAAATGGAGGCACCTCAAGGTCCTCTCTGGTTTTGAGTTTAGGCATTTCACTCATCTCCATGGAGGTTTGCATCGTTACCCTCTCCTCTGGCACTGTCCTGTGGGAAACAAACAAAGAAAACAAAGAGGAGCAGCACTTAATGGTGCTCACCCTAGCCATGAAAAAGGCACATGTGAGGCCAAATGACACACGAGTCTGCATGTCACAAACTGAGGGACACATAATTAAAACAACATCACTGAATGTGACAAATAATTATCCTGACATAGCCTATTGTGCATATGGAAGACACACCTACTGTCTGTCTCACACACACACACACACACACACACACACACACATACGTGTTTACTGTTTCTGCAATTCTAGTGTTCCTTTTTTTTAATTCATTGAATTTATTTTCCTCAGTGAATTATATTCTCTTTTTTCTCATCACATTTTTCATTTTTGCTAGCAATATTGTTCAACTGACATTTATGCCAATAAAGTTTATTGAACTGAAAAAAATGAAATTGACGTGACAGCAGAAACAGCCAATCACTGTCTGAGGAACGCCCACATTCCTGAACGGACCAATGGCGGAGAGGTAGAGCGACCTCGGCAACAATTGTTGAAATTTAGTTGGACTTGTTTTGTTTTGGTTAGCCAGCGAGTCCGACGTTTTACTAACAATGCAATGGTTAATTATTAGTTTAGTTGTTAAAAAATATTAGTTTCTAACTTCTTTTTGGCAATGGTGTCACCGATGATCATCGTTGGACAAGAAAATTCAGCGACGGCGGCCCCAGTGGCAGAGGTAGCAGCTGGCCGAAGCTCTTTATAAAGACGGTGGCAGTCAAGATTGCTAGCTACAGTAACTTCGCTAGTCTGCTTGCTAAAACGTATTAGCCAGATTTTGACTGGACAAATAATCTTTCATTCTCTGGGTGCTTGCTGCAGGCTTGTGGGTTGAGCTTTAAATGCTGTCTTCCTTGTAGGCCTGTTTTCGTATTCGTTCCAACAGCCGTTAACACGGGTAATAAAATTAGCACTAGCAAGTAAGACTAAGCTAACGCAGGTAACGTTAGCAGGGATGGGCACTAGCAGAAGTTTTAGTTAGCTAGTTCCTGAGCCAGCTAGGGCTTTCAGAAACTGTATGACCAAACCAAAGTTATAAATATAACTGGTTACTGAGATATTAGAAAGACAGTTTTAAAACGGCTTGTTGCGTGGGACCCGTGTTGACACAATGCTCAGCAGCGAATAAACCTATTAAGATCTTTTAAATGAATAAATCAAATGAGATTGACGCTTTACTGCAGTGGTGGCTGCTATTGTTGCTGGTGATTGCTCCTGTGGGAAAAGACTGATGCGTCACCGAGGTATTGACGGTTCAGCTGTTTGGGCCAAACAGACAGACCCACAGTGTGCAGTACTGATCACTGCATCTGCTCTCTTCCTACCTAAACATGTTCAGCCACAGATAACTAAATATAGCTGGCATTCCCAATCAGGTCACACAATATGCTGTAAGAACATAAGGATTTACGGTATCAATGAATTATCCAGCCATCATTACTCATGGTTTGGTGGGGTCAAACCCATTCTGATGGTTCAGACTGTTAAATGGGACACGTAGGTCTGTAAGCACTATGTACAAACCAGGACAACAATGATGAATGTAAGTGACATGTTGGAATCTAATTATACCAGGTGGTTATCTGTGTTACTTATCAGAGAGGACAGGAATCTGTGGAATTAGTCTTTGCCTTGCACAGCATTACACTCTGCATTACACTCTGCCATAGATAGCAGTGGTAGGGCAGTGTGTCAGCACGTCTGCAGCAGTGGCTGCCTGCAGTACATAGTTCCAGTAAGATCGGAGAGATGCAGCAGTGTTCATTTGGGAAACATTTGACATCTGATTCCACTGGCTCTGCTCAGTTGGATCCAGGCAGATTCTGGGCTACTGAGCTCTTTTTTTCTTCAGCCACAGGAGCAACAACATGCAACACAAAGACACTATGGTTAGAGCTAGAACTTGAGCTAGTCAGATAAGTCCATTAATTAGTTGATCCACAAAAAATTAATCAGCTAATACAGTGATGAGGGACATCGTACACTAACCTTATTTATGTGGCATATAATGTGTTTATAACAAAACTTAAGTGTATGGTAATAATTATTAAATAAATAATAAGAATACTGTACTTAAATAGGGTGTTAAATAATGTGCAGCTACCATGTCATGAATGCAAATATGGTAAACTAAAGTCATAGTCAGAGGTTAACAAAAAACTTTAAAAAAAAAAATTAATGTTTTATAATGTGCTAGAGATGCCAGAAAATGGTATGGTACTTAAGGTTACAAAAAATGCCCGGCTCTTGTTAACACTGTGTTTTGTTGTTTTAGTAGCTTCCTCAATTCAGATTGTGACACATATATTTGTGTATTTACAGGCCAATCTGGTGTGCCAGGGAGTAAACAACCAGAGCTACATCTGTGAGTCAGGTCACTGCTGTGGAGAGACACAGTGCTGCAGCTACTACTATGAACTGTGGTGTAAGTTACCCATCTCTGCTTTAGTCTTTCTTAGTGTTTGAATGGTCCCTCTTCATGACACAAATGATATGCAACAAGAATACATTAAAATGAAAGCATAGAAATATGTCCATAAATCCATACTGCACTAGCTCACACGATGCACATTTGTTATAGTTTTATTCCAACAAACATTACACTGTGAAGTAAAGGAAGTCTCAATTGCGAAAAGGGGAGGAAGCAGATTGAGGAGCAGATGTTTGATAAAGGTCAGGAGTGGTACCAGTTAGGTGAGTGGAGCTCGGCCCTGAGTCTCATTTGTCGCTCACAATCTCTACTTGTTTACCATTTGAACTGCTGCTTGGCTGCCTGGTTGTCTCTCATGTTGCAGACACACCCGTGTGCCATCTAACAGGAACTCCCAGCCTGTCAGTGCACTTATTGGTATTCCTTTAATTTAAGGGTGCGCTTTGTGACTCAAGTTTTTTGACACAAAGAACATCCAAACCAAACCTTAAAATCATGACAGGAATTAACAGGCTGTTAATTGAAACTATGACACGGTGTCAGATCTCACTACTGCCTCACCACTGAACTAAACAAGTGTTGAAAACAGCCACAGAACGGTTACACTTAATCTTCTACAGGTAACAACAACAACAACAATCTATCTATCTATCTATCTACTGTATCTATCTGAGAAATTTATTATATAAAAGAAAACTTGTAAATAAAAACTTGTTGACACTCAGCAAACTAAGGTGTCAAACAGTATCATTTTGTTTGTACTAAAGCTCATATTTAAACTGTTATGTAAAAAGACTTGGTAGCATTTGTCAGGATGTATACTACAGGTGTTACGCTGTGGGCTCCCTGCAGGGTTCTGGTTGGTGTGGACTCTGATCATTATCCTGACATGCTGCTGTGTGTGTCAGCACTGGCGTTCCAAGCAGCGTTTCCAGCAGCAGCGCCGGCAGAACGAGATCAACCTCATTGCCTATAGAGAGGCCCACAACAACTCTCAGCTACCCCTCTATCTCAGTAAGTAGCTGTGTGTGGCATGCTGCTGCCTCTACACATTCCACACATAGTCTTCATCGCTCAGACACATCACCAGCTGCACATCATATATGTTTGTCAATAGAATTAAGAAGTAGATCTCAACCAATAGAATCTCCTGATATAACTTTCACTCAAAAAGTCCATATCCAATACATAAGACTGAACATGCATTTAAAGTGTTCACATTTTTCCAAGTCTATCTTAATATAATGCTCAAATGCCCGTGTGTACAACGAAAGCCTTATTGGTCCCTGTAGTTGTTTGTTGATCAAAGTCTTTGATCTGTGTAAAAATACATTCTGAAGTTCAGTGCAAGCTTTTTGAGTATGACAAATCAAGTAGGTATCCTCCAAAGTTAAAGTCTTTTTTAGTACAAAGTGCTTTGTGTTACTAACCCTTTGCCAAGGCTCTACATGGAAACACTGATTTTTATGTACTAAAAATACAGTTATACCCTTTTTACACCAGAATTAGCAGGTATAAGCAGTTTTTTAAACACCAGTTAACTCGCTGAAAAAGGCGATTGACTCCTTATACACCATCATCTGAGTTTACCGGGGAGGACATATACAACTGCTGGGACCAATGTCATCCCATGCCCAGGTGTTGTGTTTATATCACTGCTGATCGGTGCCAGACCGATAAATACTCTTTGTATTACTTTGACCCAGGTGTGATTGCCGATTGTTCCCTTTTCCATTGCCGATAAAAGCCTGATATTAGCGGGTCTTAGCGGGTTTTTTTAACCGGTGGAAAAGGGGCTTAAGTTTGGAAAATATCTACATCAAACCTTTGAAGCCTCATATTATCTATCTTTAAGTCATTTTGCACAAAGGACTGTGGATTTGTCCTCTGTCATTGAAATTACTTTTATAAGCAGTATGGTTAGTATGAACAGAAGGAATAATTACAGCAGCCAATAACTATTTCCATTTCCATTAAACTACTGGTCAAATACCAAGTCTTCACTGTTCACTCAAGATCACAGTCTTTAACTGTCGATCACATCACTGCTGTCTCTGTGCTAAACAGGTGGCACGTGTTTATGTCATCATCAAAAAGGTTTGGTGAAATGTTTTTATGCTGCAGAATCTGTGTGCGCGGCATCGCAGATGGTGGTGTGATGGTATAACTTAATATTTCTTTTAGTTAATCAAGAAGAACACATTCAGTCTGGTCTAATGGATGTTCCCCAGTGAAGCCTGGAGGTTGTTTGGCATTGTTTGCTCTGGTACTTTTTGTCGGGCCAGTTGTTGAAGCTCTAGATGAAGTCATTATTTTGTGTTGTTAAATTTAGAATTCAAGTAACTTGGTTCTTTCTTAATCTGTTTTTTTGAATTCCTAACCTTGTGAGACAGCTGGATTTATTCAGTTGTGGCAGAACCACAGCGTTCTGGACCAATCAGCATCTGATCAGAATCAGAAGTCACTGTTTTGGTATTTGCCTTTTATTCACACATTTTCCTTTAAGAGATGGCAATAAGCGAACTAGCTTTCAAATCTCCTCAGACTGTGGCTTGTTGTTGTGTTGTGTTTTCACTGTGGTGCTCTCCTGCTACATCATATGATAGATGGATGGTTCATCCAATTACCTGCAGTATTTTTTTGAAAGCGCCTGCCCTTTTCCAAACAGGGTCTGAGGAAGCCTTCCCAGATGGTTCTGTGAAACAAACATCTGGAGCATCGGGTTATTTTGGGGCGAACATAGGTCACATTAGTGGTGAAAAACAATGAAATTAATTAAGGAAATTGCTTAAAATTTACATCCTAGCTATAATTCTGTACTGAGCTTGTTGTAAACAATCTTATGACGAAGGGATTGTTTTTGACTTCCCTACTCTGTCCTTGGCTCTCAGCTCCAAGTCCATTGGTTCCTTCTGCACATATAAGTGATTTTCTGCTGGATAGTTGAGGTCAGTGAAATAAGTTTAAAAGCCATCATCTTTTTATTATGTTTCTTATTTCCTCATCCAGCAGTTACAAAGGAACATAACTTTGGGGTGGTGTTTGTGTCCATGAAGTTTCACTCTCTGGTCTGTAACTGTGTCTGTCTGCTGATTGCTGCTGGGCAGGTTGTGCACAGTTTAGTGCAGAGTTGGAGTTGCATTTTTCTCTGGGTTTTACTGCGGCAAGCGACGCCTTTTCACTTTACATGTCAGTTGATCCGCCATTAATTTAATTAAAAACATTAATTTAAAAACACTGATTAGTGCAGCTTTAAACTCTATAAGTGTGTTGAGTAGAATAAAGCTAACTGCTGTCATTGACTGGGAATGAGTGAGATACTGTCATGTTTGTCCTCTTTCATACTTGTATGCATTGTGTTATTCTGCAGGATTCTTGCCCACCTATCTGCTGCCAGCCTATGAAGAGGTAGTTGGCCGCCCAGCCACACCCCCTCCTCCCTACACCCCTCTCCAGCCAGCACCCCCATCCACAGATCCACCCACAGAGGAATGTCCGTGCCCCCACTCGGCTATATCCGTCCCCAGTGATGCTGATGCGGTGCTCCCTGCTACTCCAGAGGCCACGCAGACCCTCCTTCACAGCGCTGCTAACCCCAACAAGGACTCGACGCCGGGCAGGTACCGGCGCTTCACAGGGGATTCTGGGATTGAAGTTTGCGATGGTCAGGAGCTGTGGGATCAGCACGGCTTTTTAGAAAGAGAGGAAGAGACGGAGGAACAGGGGGCGGGGCCTGTGGAAGACCCATGTGATCACTGTGATCCTGGGATTCTTGAACACAGCCACAGTAGTGATGCAGTCATTCATGAAAGCACAGATGGACACACAGAGCCACAGTCTCTTAGGTAATCCAGACTGTTGACTTTAATATCTGCAGAGACAAAACTCTGCAGCAGTCACTGATGCAATGTTATTACTGTTGGTGCTCAGGGGTTTGGTCTTTTAGTACATGTGTATGTTTGACTAACACCACTGTGACAGGCCTGGAGACAAATGACAGATAGGACTAAATATTTTTAACATTTTTTTGAAGGTGCAGTACGTGTTACCCTAGTTTTTCTTCTCCTCAAGTTCAAGTTGAACACTTGACAGTCACTAATCATGTTGAAGAGCTGTCTGCTTTGAAATGTTTCCTGTCAGGAGGCAGCACTGAGGTTCATATTCACTTACACGGTTCTTTAAGCTTTGTTGAAAGCTTCTCTGAGTCACAGTGCCCAGTGTAACTATAGGAGCTGTCGCTCTGTCACTGACTGTAGCATTAGACCAGCACAGCTGCTTGGGTTCAGTGATCTGACCCCCTCTACCATGGTAGCTAGAGCTGGACCAATACAATTAAAACAAACAATTTTATTACTGATAGTAATACTTTCTTTTTACATAATTGTGTAACATTAAAACTTTTTATATACATCCCTTAAATTGGATTATGAAACAATTGTAACCAACATACGTATGACCAGGATATTTTACAGTGTAAAATAAACGTGTCAGTGCTCTCTGGTAGACAATTGGGACACTGCTTCTAAACCACATCAGATATACCTTTGACATTTTTGTATTGACAATTCCTGTTTATTCTTGTTTATATGGATCATTAAACTCACCTGTCAACTTTAATTATACAACATTTACAGCTGATTCATACGTTAAACACATGAGTATCACCACTATAATGACAGCATTCAGGTTCACAGGACCATGTGACTTGTCCCGGTTTAGTTTAAAGTCAGCTGAGCTGCTGACAGAGCTGCAGCCCCGACATGTCCAGGTTTGATCATTTGATTTGCATCTGTTCCGATCAAAAGTCTTTTAAAGGTCCCATATTGTATTCTTTTCCAGTGTTTTACTTGAAGTGTTGATCCATAAAAAGATATTTTTCCAAAAACCATCTTAGTGTAGTTTTACATCTCTCTCAGGCTTCTCTCTGGAGCTCTAGTAAGAATAGGTCGGTGAGCCAATCAGAAGAGAGGAGGCTCTGAGTTACAGAAAGTCCTGACCACTGGTTTTGAGGCTCAGTTTCTGAATACAGGCTGTGTCCATTCCTCTGTGGACTGAGCGCTTTGATACTTCATACTTTAATACTTTTATAATCAAATAAAAACTTAATATAAAAACTATATCACAAAATAAAAGCTTTATAATACTTTATAATCAAAAAGACATGGATGTCTACCTTTATACAATATGGGACCTTTAAATCATATCAATCACTGAGACTGAGAAATGAGTTAGCAGGCATACTTTTTCTAACAATATATCCATATCCATATCATTCAGAAGTCCGTACAGAAAAAGTCCAATTGTAGTGAAAGGTTGGTTATAAAAGTGTTTAAAGATTGTTGTGAAGGTCTGTCAAGCACCAGCAGCATACTGTTGATCGATCCCGTGTGTGTGTGTGTGTGTGTGTGTGTGTGTGTGTGTGTGTGTGCGCGTGTGTGTGTGCGTGTGTGTGTGCGTGCGTGCGTGCGTGCGTGCGTGTGTACTGCACCGTTTCACTTCACACAGGATCGCTTAATTTTTGGTTTGCTAACCCTTCTGTGAGTCTCCAGTTGCCTGTTACACTGATGTTAATTAAAGATTCTGATGCCATAGTGCCATAATGTGTAGCCTTATGTAGCCTTTGAATAGAAAATATTTAGGTGAACTTAATCAAAGCTCTGGAGTCTCTTTATTATTATTGAGTAACCCATAAGTGTACTGAATAACAGATTCATCATCATTTAATCGATGTTACAGTTGTGTTTCCCTGTAGTTAAGCCAAAATGTTTAGATATTTAAATATGAATATCTGAAATATCACCACCAGTATGGTTACTCTGAAAGCACACAAAAGTTGTGTTGGAGGGTGTTGGTTGCAAACCATAAGTGTGTATATACAAAGGGAATGACCATGGTGAAATTGGATGACACTCCATGTATAAATGTGTTAGGCTGTCGGGGAGCTGACAGTGAAACCCAAACCTTACAGTGCACTGAGGGGACTTCGCTCCAGTTGAGTCAGTCGAGCACTTTTCCACATATGCAGCACCTGGTGCTACACTCTGTACATACGCTCTTTATTATCTGCTGAGTTAAAGTATATTTTTCTGTTGCTTTTTGTATAAAAGATGGTTATTAAAAATGATGTGAGAACATGTGGCTAAATTTTTTTTTTGTGAGATTTAAAACAAGTAAATAAGACGATTCAACACTCAAAATTACACTCTACACTGTGTGCATGTATGCTGTACAGACATCTAGAAAACTGTTACAGCTTAAATGACACAACAGGAGCAGTTCAGAGGAGATGAATATCTTTAGCTGATCATTGAATACACAGCTGTGACTTGCTTCATGTCCTCTATCTCACCAGCTGCAGGGGCCCAAATGTCCCAAGTTGTCACCATTTTAACTGGTATATAAGTATACCACACTCTAACAACTTGTCATGTTTGGTTTGTTTTTCTGCAGTTAGTTTTCTCAGCCATGTTTCTGTCGGCCTCTGTTTTGACAGCTAACCAGCCCTGTAAATGTTCTGTGTGAAGGGCTGTTTTTTCCCTTCCTCTCATCCTAACGTACTACGTAAGGGCCCCGTATCTTACGTCCAAAGACGAGCCCCTCTGTAAAACCTGTGCTCTCCTGGTAAATCGTCCTCCTAGTCCATATCAGTTTTTTTTGCAGCACATACACAGCAGAGAATCTTTGATGTATAGCTGCTTCAGGACTTCATGACAAGAATGAATACAAATTGAAAACACTATACTACTGATCTTTGGTATTTCAAACAAGGCAATAAACTCATACATCTTAAATACTACACAGTGCTCAGTGGATACTGTGTGATTTAAACTAAACTTTGACGTGAGTAAAGGCTCAGCACAGTCTGTCACTGAATGGACAGAGGCTTGACAAACTAGTTTGCCGTTCTGTTAAACTGGTATTTCACTTTTATTGAAGTAGCAATCTCGAAGATCTCTGTCTCGTTATCTTTGGCCAATCATAATTGCAGGTTTGTTTTTCAACCACACAGTTCATAAAACTATGAAATGCAAGGATTTGTATATAATTTCATCAGTGAGTCATAGTATGCATGTAAACTAATAGGAGTCAAATTTTAGACTCAAGTGAAAGATCAAAGTAAAAAATTTTCGGTTTTACTCACAAACTTTAGAATCAAAAACTATTTGTCTAAACTGTTAATGACTTGAAAAGTCTGTTAAACGTCAGAGAGCATGTGAAGCTGGTGCAGAGTAGATTACAACATCGCTTGTCATTTTCATAGTTTTATGAACTGTGTTGGTTGAAAAACAAACCTGCAATTATGATTGGCCAAAGATAACGAGACAGAGATCTTCGAGATTGCTACTTCAATAAAGTGAAATACCAGTTTAACAGAATGGCACCTAGTTTGTCAAGCCTCTGTCCATTCAGTGACAGACTGTGCTGAGCCTTTACTCAGTCAAAGTTTAGTTTAAATCACACAGTATCACTGAGCACTGTGTAGTATTTAAGAATGTATGGAGTTTATTGCTTTGTTTGAAATCCAAAGATCAGTAGTATAGTGTTTTCATCATTTGTTGTATTAATTCTTGTCATGAAGTCCTGAAGCAGCTATACATTCAAAGATTCGTCTGCTGTGTATGTGCTGCAAAAAAAACTGATATGGACTAGGAGGACGATTTACCAGGAGAGGCACAGGTTTTACAGAGGGGCTCGTCTTTGGACGTAAGATTAGCGGGGCCCTTACGTTTAACGTATAGGATGAGAGGAAGGGAAAAAACAGCCCTTCACACAGAACATTTACAGGGCTGGTTAGCTGTCAAAACGAGGGCCGACAGAAACATGGTGAGAAAACTAACTGCAGAAAAACAAACCAAACATGACAAGTTGTTAGAGTGTGGTTTACTTATATACCAGTTAAAATGGTGAAAACTTGGACATTTGGGCCCTGCAGCTGGTGAGATAGAGGACATGAAGCAAGTCACAGCTGTGTATTCAATGATCAGCTAAAGATATTCATCTCTCTGCACTGCTCCTGTTGGTGTCATTTAAGCTGTAACAGTTTTCTAGATGTCTGTACAGCATACATGCACACAGTGTAGAGTGTAATTTTGAGTGTTGAATCGTCTTATTTACTTGTTTTAAATCTACAAAAAAAAATTTAGCCACATGTTCTCACATCATTTTTAATAACCATCTTTTATACAAAAGCAACGAAAAATATACTTTACTCAGGCAGATAATAAAGAGCGTATGTACAGAGTGTAGCACGAGGTGCTGCATATGTGGAAAAGTGCTCGACTGACTCAACTGGAGCGAAGTCCCCTCAGTGCATGTAAGGTTTGGGTTTCACTGTCAGCCTCCCGACAGCCTAACACATTTATCACATGGAGTGTCATCCAATTTCACCATGGTCATTCCCTTTGTATATACACACTTATGGTTTGCAACCAACACCTCCAACACAACTTTTGTGTGCTTTCAGAGTAACCATACTGGTGGTGATATTTCAGTATTCATATTTAAATATCTAAACATTATGCTTAACTACAGGGAACACAACTGTAACATCGATTAAATGATGATGAATCTGTTTTATCAGTACACTTATGGGTTACTCAATTAATAATAAGAGACTCCAAGAGCTTTGATTAAGTTCACCTAAATATTTTCTATTCAAAGGCTACATAAGGCTACACTATTATGGCACTAATGGCATCAGAATCTTTAATTAACATCAGTGTAAAGGCAACTGGAGACTCACAGAAGGGTTAGCAAACACAAAATTAAGCGATCCTGTGTGAAGTGAAACGGTGCAGTACAACACGCAGCACGCACGCACAGCACAGCAACACACACACTCGCACACACACACGCGCACACACACACACACACACACACACACACACACACACACACACACGGGATGCGATCACAGTATGTGCTGGTGCTTGACAGACTTCACAACAATCTTTAAACACTTTTATAATAAACCTTTCACTACAATTGGACTTTTTCTGTACGGCTTTCTGAATGATATGGATATGGATATATTGGTTAGAAAAAGTATGCCCTGCTAACTCATTTCTCAGTCTCAGTGATTGATATGATTTAAAGGTCCCATATTGTATGAAGGTAGACATCCATGTCTTTTTGATTATAAAGTATTATAAGAGCTTTATTTTGTGATAATAGTTTTATATTAAGTTTTTATTTGATTAATAACAAGTATTAAAGTATG